TCCGAAGGAAAAGAGCCCCAGCGGCGGGCGGCAGAGCCGGGGGAAGGCCCCTCTGGGGTTCAGTGCTCGCCCCTGCCTGCGCTTGCAGCTTTCCAGAAATGCCCCAAGGAGCTGAAGCTCATGAGCCTCTGCAAGCCCTTTCCATTAGGCTGTGACATCCAGGGGTTTCAGTAGAATTCTTATCCTAAACTCAGGCACTGATTCTGCTCCGTTTGAGCGCACTGAAGTAGTGACTTTCACTCACAGACCAAAGGCTTGGTGCAAAACCCCAGCTGTGTGAAAGGCTGGATGCGGGAGTTCTGGGGCAGCATGGGGCTTAATTTCCAGGTAGAATGAATTAAATGTATTCTTGCTGTGTAAGTCTTTGCCCTTGTCAGGCATATTTGCCTCCAAGAACCTTGGTGAGGACTGCACATTTACATCCTTTATCTATAAACTATGTAGGGTAAATTCTTTACCACCATAGCTGTATGACAAATGTTTGAAAATGAGCGTTAGTTGTTGGTTATCTCTGGAAGGAACTGGTGAGTCCTCCAGCTCTCCTTTTCACGTTTTGCTCTAGCAGTCAGTTTGTTCATGATTCAACACCACTGGCAGCCAAACATGGCAAGCAGCATGCACTTTGCAATACAAGGAGAAAATGGAGGAGCATATCATTAAAAAGGAGAAAACTGAAAGATCAGGTCATGTAAGAAAGGTGCCGGCACTCCTCACTAAGTGGTTTTCTGAAAAAAGTACCTTTTATTGTTGATACCAGTTTAAAATTTGTAAGAACAGACTCTTTTGTCAGATAACTGATTCACCTTCATACCTAGCATAAGATGCAGCCATGTTTTCAGAAACCTACGGCTACCTAGGAAGTCTGGATCGGCCTCCTCTTGCACAGAGGCCTCTGACGTGGGCAGCTCTCCTGAGAAAGCAGCTTTACCTGGGAAGTTAAAGCGTCCGTCCCGCTGGCCCATAGGAGAGGGGTTCGGGGGAGGCGTTGCACTGGGAGGGTTGGAAGACTGAAAAGGTGCTGGGGAAGACGGCGTGGAGGAGGTCGTGGAAGAGGGGTTACTGCTGGAGTCCAGGTGGTTTATTGCTGGGGGGTGCTCCTGCAAGGCAAAGTCACGGTGAGAAAAGCTCTCCTCGGCATTTATTGAGCACAGAGAAGTGAGCTGGTTCTAGCCTGCTGGAGCTTATGTTTTCTAGGGGCGCAGGGGTTGGGACTGTGCACGAGCTATTTCCACAGAGAACAGTCTCTGCAAAGCGGAGGCTCCCGCAGCAGCAGGTTGGAATCGGAGTGACTCCTGCTGCAGGCAGCACGGTGCTGCTGGCCCCCTCCCCACGGGCACTCCTTAGGCACGCGCACACACGAGTCGCTCCCGCCACCACGTACCTTTTTAGTTAGTGCTTTGGGAAGAGTTCCAAACTGCGGCTCCGTCGGCCTGTCTACTGGGTTGTTGATATCTGAAGGGACAGACTCTGTCCTCCTGATTTTTGTTACTGAAAAACAGGTTAGGGAAGAGGTGGAGGGAAAAAGCTTTAATCAGCCTTCTAGTCTTGTGGTACCATCAATTATGCTGAAGTATTAAGACTTTGTAGAAAACTTACTGGGAAGGAAGGATATTCTACACGCAGGTGCCTCTTTAGTGCACTTGTTATGGCATTTTAACCTGAAAGAGAACGATGGCATGTGAAGAGGCCCGTGTTCAGGGCTCAGAGGAGGCGGCCGCCGAGCTCAGAGCGCGCGGGAAAGCGCCGGCCCCTCACGACTGCTACGTGCGTCACTGGGCTTATTCGAGACGGACACGTAGCCCAGACTCTCATTTACTTGTACTAGTTTCCTTCATTGATTCCTATCGCGGAACAGAAGACTGTCAAAAATCTTAGCGCTATGGACAGACAGTCATGTCAGAGTCAAAAACCGGGCTCCTCACCCCTGTGGGATCCAGCTCCCACCAGGAGCTGCCCGTGATCAGGCAGGAAGCCGGTGGTAGGGGACCAAATCGGTCCCTCCGTGTCAGGCTCCAGCTCCTGAACACAGGTCATGCCAACACACCCCACTGCCAGCTCAGGAGCTGCCTGAGATGATTGTGCATGCCACTGCTAAGAGTGCATTGCACCAAGAAGTGTATTTGGTACTGGCAAACTTTAATGAATCAAAACGTAAGGTGCTTTTCTAGAAGATCATCTGTGTGCTCACCTGCAGTACTTACACTTCACCCCGAACATCATGCTTTTCTGACAGACTTGGCAAATCTGAGATAACCAAGACTTTGTAGAGAACCTAAGCAGAAGAAGGGGAAAACGATGTCAGCCGGTGTCGACAGAAAACACGCAGTTGTGGGTAGCCACAGACAGGCTGTAGCCCGAGCTCTTCCACGAGGGATGAGAGGGCTTCTCAGCGCTCCCACGAGAGCCCCCGGCTCCTCTGTGCCGCTCACCTGTGCGTCACGGCGAGGCCAAAGTCTCTTCGTACCATCTGGGGGGATCCTTGCGAGAGCTCTGGTGGGGAACAGAAGGGTGTTCAGGGAAGCACCAGTCACGAGGGGGCTGCCAGGCTAGACAGACCCCAAACCATCGCTGTTACAGGGAAGGACCAGCAGCTACGACACTGCCAGCAGCACGGCTGGGACTGGCATTCTGCTGTAAAGCTACCAGATACTGCTCTTTAATTTGTTTTATCATAGAAACCAGGTAAAGTAAGATTTGGTGCTGGAAATCATCAAATGAAATCAGGAAATCATCAAATGTGATCAGATGCCCATTTAAGAGAGTAGATTTTATAAGCTGGAAGCCAGACACTTACTTTCTTCAAGGTGGTTTACCAGCAATACTGTCTCTTAGTTTTCAGGCAAGGTCAACAGATTTCAAGGTGTTTTTTTTTTTTTTTTTTTTTAATGATGAGAACTGTATTATCTCTGTTTTATAAATGGAGTCGATGTGACCCAGAAGAATACAGAGATTTGCCTGTGACCATCTACAAGCCAATGAACACAGAAAAGGAGCTACAGACTGCAGAACGCGTCCAGTGCTCCAGCAGTGACGGCGCCAGCCCTCCTACCACACCTCAGCACAGGATTCTGCTGAATTTCTGCACTACATCTAGTGCTCCAAGGCCTGTGTGGAGAGGACCCACGCGGCCAGGCCGGGGCAGGTCACTGCTTGCAGACAACCTGTGCCTCCCTCTGACCGTAGATGGCACCACATCCTTTTTCATCACTATTCCAGCGAACTTTTTAAGGCATCTGCGGTTTTAAGCATTCGTAATAACTAGTTGTTTTTTGAAGGAATATATTTGCACAAAACTGATCTAGTTTGGCCATCCAAACCTACAACGAATTAGTCATATTAACATTATCTAAGATTGCTAAACACTTACTTGAAGAATCCTAATGAACTTAAGAGAAAAAGCAAAATTGAATGAGACTTCATTTCCATTTAAATTCCTTATGCCATCTTTGTTTATTACATATATTCTATCACTCTCCATAGAGAAATGCTCAGGTTTCTCCTTACATTTTCATTTCACTCTTTTTTTTTTTTGGTCTTTATACTTCTCATTTTTGTAAGTAATTTTTTGCTCCAAAGGGCATTAAATACCCATGTAGTTAATATCCTTACAGTTTTTTGTACTTAAGAGGAAGGTGAGTAGTTTTGAGTTATCCCACAGCTCCTTATGTTAGCTTCAGGGTTAACACATTTTGTCTCTATCAGGATGCCCACAATCACATCAGGAGAGCCAAACTATTAATACCGGAATATTGCCTGGATAAAAGCACAAGTCCTAGTCCTGCCAGTCTTTCAGTGTATGAACAGTCCTATTCAAGCACATGCTGAGCTGTTTCTGCAAAGGCTGCATGCAGCCATCCAGCTTCATTAAGCAAAGAAACTTAGCACTGGATCCCCACAGAAATGGAGTCACGGCACGTCTAGTACCAAGAGACAAACACTCTCTGACCTCACAGACCATCAACTGCAACCAAAGCTAAAACCTTGCTCTTGTCCTTAAAATATCTGTATTCCTCTTTTTGCTTCATTCATATGAAGAACTACAAGGTACAAAGAAGGGCCCTGCAAGGATCCTGCAGCTCTCCCACAGGCCACGCTGGGCTACGAGACCCTGTTGAGGAGCTCCCGAAGTTGCTGAGATGCTGCAGGTAACTGGACGGGGTCCTCCCTCGGGCCGTGAAACCAAGACAGACTGTAAAAATCTCTTACCGAACCTAGAGGACAACAGAAAAAAACAACCAATTAGACATTCCCATTCGTGTGGCGGGATGAACTCATGCCACGAACGCAGCAGCTCCACCCCAGCCCCAGCCCCAGCGCACAAGAACTGCGGCTTGCGGACAGCAAGCGTTAACGGAGCCGGGACCCCAGGCGGCTGGAGGGCTCCTTGGCAGCGCCCGCATCAAGGACGTTGGCACCATCATCAATGATGGCTACTTTAAAGCTCACGCTAGCAGCTGAAATCCTAGAACATGGTGTTGACAGAGGTTCTCAGACTAGAGCAAAACCAGGCTCAGGCAGCCAGACAGTCACTCTTTTACACAGCATCAGAACTGGGGTCGTGAGCAGAGCCAAGCAGCACCCACAAGGAAGGAGAAATGTCAGGCTTACTTTATTGGAGGAATTTCATCTATCCTGTTGCCCAGCTGTGATTCATGGGACTTGCTCCTTGTGAGGGTTGGAAAATTAGGTAGCAGCTGAAACACCTTCCGGCAAGGGGGTGGAGGAGTCCGTGGTGGCTTCAACTTGTGCCGTCTCTTGGCTTGAGGAGTGGTTGGTGGAGTGATGGTGATGCTGTGAGGAGTCCTTGGGGTTAACCTGCCGCTGTGCACGGGGAAGGCAAAGGGGTCCAGGAGGTTATCTGCATAGATAGAGGGTCCGTGACTCGAAGCAACAGAGTCCGAGGATGGGATTGTGGACACGGAGGCAGAACGGGCCTGGCTGCTGCCCCTGGCCGGGTGCAGGGCAGGGCTGGCGGTCCCCGGGGGCGCAGAGGAGCAGGGCGGCTCCGGCGGCGGCGTGGAGCTGCTCTCCCGATGGCTCTCGGGAAGATGCACCAGCAGATCGTCCCTCAGCTCCCCACCTGGCCACCAAAGAGCAGGGTTAGTCACAGAGGCGCGCGAGGCAGCGTGGGGCTGACTTTGTGGTCCTGCACTCCACGATGGTGCGAGTGCCACCGGAGCGGGGCCACCGAGCAACGTGGAGTACAGCTGGGTGCCCGGAACAGGCGCCTCCGGCCCACGGCAAGCCTGGGCTTAGACAAATCAGTGCATCCAACCTGCTACTCTGCCTATCTCTAGGCCGGTCCCTTCTGAGCAGGGGAAATGTATTCTGTTAGCCAGCTGGATTCCTAAATACCACCGTATGGAGCCGAGAAGGCGGCCAGGGCGTGGGGAAGGGAACTGCGGTTCCCAGGCACCGCTTGGGGCACGCTGCTGCGCTGCTAGAGCCTACCGGCACCGGGCACGGCGGTGCCCAGCATGGACTGTGCCGGCCACCCCTCCCCGGGCACAAAGGAGCCAAATGGTCACACTGGGGCCCGCAGAGCCCAGCACGGCCCTCAGCGCCGCGCGCCGCCCGTCCCACGGCACCGCAGCTGGCACCACCTCTGCGCGAAAGGGAAAACCCAGCACTGGTGCCTGCGGGCAGCGGAGCAGGAAGGCAGTTACTGCGGTGAGCGCAGAGGTGCAGCTCGGCACGGAAACTGCTTGGCTTCATTTAAGCATGTCCTTAATCACTTAAAAAAATCAAGATGGAAAGTCAAGGCTTCAGGTCCTGAAGTCATATTGACAGTCAGTGGTTGAACATTTACCTAGTTTTAAAATAGTACTCATACCTCTCCAAACATTTTTAAAGGAAGGGAGACAAACAATAATATATTTACTTAAAGGTGAGTTAATTTTGTTGCAATAAGTGTATGCCTTGCCCCTGGACAGCGGCTGCATTTGCCACAGTACACCAGAAAAATATCTGATGGCCCAAAACAGAAAGATTACAAAAAGGAAATAAGAAATTGAACTGTTTTGCTGGCTTTTCCATTAACTGGTCTTCATGATTTGTGGGTGGTATGAACTGCTATAATACCAACAGGAAACATCACCTTCCAGTGACAGATTGATGGCCTCTACAAAGAGAGGTGCGACGCACAGTGCGCAGCGAGAAACACCCTCACCCGGGCAGAATCTACACGTGCTTGGAAACAGCCTGGGGAGGAGCGGGGGGATGAAGGTGAAACAGCATTCCGAGAACCTGCAGTTTGTCATCTGAAATACTTCTGCTGAGCAGGCCCATTTCATACAACCCTCTCCTTTCTGCAGCTTCAGGTTAATTGGGGTTCTCTCCAGCTCTTACATTTGCTGTTGGGGTTTGGCTAACGATTCTCTTGATTCCAGCAGCTGGTAGGAAAAATGGCAAGAGGTTTGAAAGAGGAGCGAAGCCACGGGCACGGACAAGCCTTTGGCACTGCCAGAGGTCTCTGCAGCTTGTCTCATATGAAAGGGAACAGGATGGGGTTCGAGTTACTGAGAACTGAATCTCACAGAACAAGGCAGCTGGTACCTGATTCCGTCACCTTCCTCAGGCAGCTGAGGGCCCCGTTGAGCCTGGAGCACTCCTCATCCCTGGCACCACATCTCTTCATGGTTTCCTTCACCTTTGACTCATTCATTTCTAGTAAGGCATCTAAGGTTAGCTCCTCTGGAATTCTCTGCAGAAAAACAAAAGATACATACCTTTATATACGTACAGATACACACATATATACACACACACACGCGTGTACAG